CCGAATAGGTCAAAAGACTCAAACACATCTCTAGAACAACATGCAATATTCAATTGAATTTTTTAGTCCAATAAAATAAATGTAGTACTTTTTTTGTGAAAATTTATACAATAAAAATATAAAAAACTTGACAAGAAATTAAAAGATATTGATTGGAGTGCCTACTTGAAATTAAAATCAGTTACATCTTTAAGTATGAAACTGAAAATGCCCGTTTGGAATGCCTACTAGGAAATTGGAAGCAATTTGCAATTGAATGTTCTAGTCCAAAAGAATGGAATATGTTTTTTTTTTTTTTGAAAATTTATAAAATGAAAATTGGAAAAAGAAAAATTGACAAGAAAATAAAAGGATGAAAAGTATTTTAAATGAAGAGAGAGAGTAGTTAAAGTGGAGAGATAAGGAGAGGAGAGTGTAATTTGTGGGAAAACAGTTTTTCATTGCATTTATTTTCATCATAAGTCTACGGGTAAATGTTGATAGTATGGGGAATATTTTGCATTCATTGTAAATATCCTTGTTGCTGTATAAATCCCCATGCCTTGTAAAATGAAAATCAATCAATGAAATCATTTTCCCTCCCAAATTCCACATGATATCAGAGCCAGGTTGGCTCAAGTTAGGGTTTTTCTCTTCTAAGATGTGTTCCAACCATCATTCTCTCACGAGGGAATTGAGTGTGAAGAAGGGATGAAGGAACTAGATTTCACTACCACTCCAGGGAGGTTTGACGACCTCTGATTGACATAACCTTAGAAGTTCATCACCACCAGCTATGCATGCAAGCCACACATTCTAATCAACGATTTTGCATCAAAAGCCTCTTTCACATGTGTGATAGCGTGTGGTACCCTTTTCTCAACAACAATCATCTTCTTTGGCAATGATGAAATATATCTAGTCTCTTCCTGTAATTTCTCATGTGTGGGTACTGCATATGTGGGCTTTGATCATTGGTTATGCTCGGAACCAAAATGAACAAGCAGTAGAGACCTCAAGTGTTTAGATAGCTTTAATAGGGATACAACTCCTGGTCCAAATACTAATGTGTCTAAGCCTAGTGGATCTGGTTTGTAGTAGAGTTCTCACGTTGTTTCAAAGACTCATAATGGAACATACTCAATCTAAACGTGTTAAACCTGGAGACACAATTATTGTAGGTCCAATCTCAAATTCAGCTTTTGTCTTTTCTAGCACAAGGAGGTAACTTTCTTCAAGTCCTAAAAATCTCTCAAGACAAAATGTTGTGAATTGTTGACTCTAGAGCATCGAATCACATGACCGATTTCCATCAATTGGTTCCTACCTAAGTTCAATGTGTTGGAAAATTGACAGTTAAAATTGCATATGGTTCTCTAGCTCTTATTGCTAGAAAAGGATGTATTCATATTCCAAAGTCTGTAACTTTGAAATCTGCTCTCCATGTACCAAAATTAGCATGTAACCTATTGTTAGTTAGCCAATTGACAAAGCAATCCAATTGTTGTGCTAATTTTCTCTCATCCCATTGTGCGTTTCAAGATCTATCATCGGGGATGATGATTGGCAGAGCTAAAGAGTACAAGGGACTCTACATTCTTGAAGATGATAGAGTGAGATACCAACATCAAACCAAGGTATGCAATTCCATATCCACCTGTAAAACTAAGGATGTCATGTTATGGCATAAGAGAATAGGCTATCCAAATTTCCAGTACCTATCTCATTTGTTCCATCTCTTTGTTCAAACAATAAACTTGATGCAAAATGTGAAAGTGTGTGAATTAGCCAAACACCACAAAACATCATTACCAAAAGCAAAGTATACACCAGCCATCCCTTTTGCTACTATCCATAATGATTTTATAGATGTTCCTAATATTATTATGATGGACACTTATTATTCTTAGCTGTCATTGATTGGACTATAACCAATGGGCCAAGCATGTCAATGATTCATGGACCTATAACTCTTTATATATGCTCTACTTGTCCTATTTCAATTACTTAAAAGCTTCTATCTCCCATGGATGGTTGTAATAATTCTAGTTGGGGTATCAATGAATAACAAAGAATCTGAAGAACGTCTAAGTCATGGTAAGCCATTGTGTAGAGAAGAATGGAATTCAACCATGTTTAGTCCAAGCTATGGCTTCTATAATTGTTGATTTCATTTTTCGTGACGAGTTTCAAACTTATGTTGTTATAGTGGCTGGGAACTACATACTTCAAGTGATGGAAACAAAAAGTTCTTTGAACATGAGGACTAAGAGGCTCAACTGGAATCCACTTGTATCTTGTTTCTGATTGTGTACAATTTTATACAATTGATTGTGGTCACAATGTGATAATTGTTTCGACAACATCCGACTTCTGTTAACAATGGAAAGCAGTGTATATGGGTTAGCCTAGCAATTCCCAGTCAAATGGAAATTTGCTCTACTCGGTTGAACACAAGCTTCCGACAAAATCTATTGAAGAAATTGATATTCTAAAATGGGACACTAAGTATGGGATACAATATGGCTATAGGACAGAATAGTCAAGCATTATGCTTCCTTGAGCATGGGATCAAAATGGACTTGTACAGATGACTATAGAAGCATTGGAACCTGCTGCGATGGGAAGAAAATTCAAAAAGTCATTGAGCAAACTTAAAGCAATGAAAGTTAGGGAAGAAACCATAAGTACCAGCTTGTAATTCTCATCTTTAGTAATCAGTGAGTGAGTGATTCTATAAAGAGACCCTAAACTCTCAAATTTGGGAAGTATTGATGGATACCTAAGTAGGATGGGAAACCCTACCTCAAAAGCTAACTGTTGAAGTGGGAGAACCAACCCACTTATATACCCCATTAAGCATCCCATACTATTCAATGTGGGACTTGGTAACCCATACTACCAAGTCTCTATCAATTGGCCCCCCATGGAAAGCCAGCGTCCCGACGGCTACACTCCACAGCACCTAACTCAGTCTCCTTCCGGTCAGAATCCTCTATGGGTAGCCCTTTCCGAAACCGCCGACAACGAGGCTCTGATACCAATTGATGGATACCTAAGTAGGATGGGGAACCCTACCTCAAAAGCTAGCTGTTGAAGTGGGAGAACCAACCCACTTATATACCCCATTAAGCATCCCATACTACTCAATGTGGGACTTGGTATCCCACACTACCAAGTCTCTATCATGTTCTCTTTCACTTTCTTTTTCTTGCAGATGCAGTTCTTTGCCCTCCCTCTCTCCCAAATCCTTTGGGTAGTTTAAAAATTTTCAAATTCAAAGACAATGAAAAGGAGATAAGAAATGAAAATGGGAATAGAACGAAAGGGTTATTGTGGCTGATATTTCATATAACTAGGGTGTAGAAGGAATTTAAAATTATAGAATAATTATAATAAAATATGAATCCAAATGATTGATTCGGCTAAAATCTAAATCCCCCTACATCCGCATGCAGTATTAGGTAATTAAAGTTAGTTGAAACAATAGTACCAACAACAACAACAAGCCTTTATCCCACTAGGTGGGGTCGGCTACATGGATTGCAAGACGCCATTGTGCTCTATCATTTATTAAGCTTTTAGAAATATTATTAATTAAGAGATCACGTTCAACAACTTCCAAGAGTGTTCTCTTAGGCCTTCCTCTACCTCTCTTAATCGGACTCAAAGTTATATGTTCCACTCTTCTCACTGGTGCCTCCCTTGGTCTTCTTTGTACATGCCCAAACCATCTCAACCGATTTTCTACCATTTTTTCCTCAATAGGTGCCACCCTCACTTTTTCACGTATGTGCTCATTTCGAATTTTATCTTTACGTGTATGTCCGCACATCCATCGTAACATTCTCATCTCTGCTACTCCAACTTTATGCTCTTGCTGTCCCGTTAGAGCCCAGCATTCACTACTATATAACATTGCCGGTCTGATAGCAGTACGATAAAACTTTCCTTTAAGTTTATTAGGCACCTTACGGTCACAAATAACTCCTTTAGCTTTTCTCCAATTAAACCACCCAGCTTGAATTCTATGTGAAATATCTCCACTGATTTCGCCATCATTTTGGATAATGGCTCCCAAATATCTAAACTTTTCCACTTGAGGTATAATTTGATCTCCCAATTTCACTTCCAAATTATTTTCGAATAGTCCTTTATCAAATTTACAATATAAATATTCCGTCTTACTTCTACTCAGACGAAAACCTTTCGACTCCAATGTCCTCCTCCATAACTCAAGTTTGCAATTAACCTCTTCTCTTGTCTCTGCTATAAGAACTATATCATCCGCGAAGAGCATACATTTCGGGATTTCCTCTTGAATATGTTCCGTCAAAACATTTAAAATCAAGTTGAACAAATAAGGACTCAGAGATGATCCCTGATGTAGCCCAATCTTTATAGGAAAATCCTTTGTTTGACCACTAGGCGTTCTTATACTAGTTTTTACCCCCTCATACATATCTTGTATGGCTTTAATATAAGCAATCCGTACTCCCTTTTTTCCAACGCTTTCCAAAGCACTTCTCTTGGTATACGGTCATAAGCTTTTTCCAAATCAATAAAAACCATGTGTAGATCTTTATCTTTACAACGATACTTTTCCATTAATCCCCTTAGTAGATAAATCGCCTCTGTAGTTGATCTACCTGGCATAAAACCAAGTTGAAACAATAGTACCATTTAAATAAATCTTAGTAGACCTTGTGTGTTCACAAGTCATTATAAAGACTAAAGGCATTGCCACTGCTTAAGTCTAACACTTCAATAACAAACTATTGAGACACGAACGATACCCCTATTAACAAGTCATAATCAATTTCAAGGTCATGCAATTCAATAGCATGATTGAATCAAGTGGGGAGGGCAAACAGAGCATGCCAATCATAGAAGAACAACACAGTCAAACATATAGAAGCAAAGACAACCCTAAATTTTAATTGCAAATGTAACTTCTGGAAACAAGTACATAATAGTGTAAAGTTTAAAAAACAAAGAGAAGGGGAGAAAAATTATACAACCTTTTTTGTCAAAGTGCCCGGACATGAAGAGTGCTTTCTTATATTCCTAAACAGTGCTTTATCATCAGAAGTATAATTGTCCACAGAAAGTGCCAAGTCATGCAATTCTGCAAGTGAGTGACGATAGAGAAGACGTAGTTTTACAGTTTTACACTCACAAAGATGTTCCCAGTGCTGCAAAAGAGACACATCAATATTCAATTCACTGAAAAATCAGCATTCCTATGGAACAAATCCAACACTATTCAGATCCAAGAAACTTAAACATGTTAAACTGGCCTTCAAATATTGTAATATATGAATTCCTAATTCCGAATGACAAGGTCATTGACTGGGAATTCAATATCTACAAGAAGAAAACCAAATCAGAAGAACTGAGTCGGAATTCAAAATGTATCAACAGGAAAATGCAGGATGCATTGCTGGAAACACCTGTCTTGTTCCATTTTCTTCTTTGCATAATACAAGGAGTACAAATTCTTATTGTTGTTCGTCTTCCTTTTGTTTTAATTAGTTCATCTTTATTTCATCTTTTAATTCAAAGTCCAAATATTGATTTGCATGATACAAGGATGTTTGGCGTCTTGATAAGACCTGCATTTGTTCAACCAGCCCTTGAGATTTCTTGGCTATTAATCTCGTCTTGGGAGGCAAAAGGAGCTTAAAGTTCAAAGACAAGGTCCTATTTTTGATGGTTAGTAGTGTCTTTGGTTAGAACCAAATGCTAGAATAGTTAAGCAATATCTTCCCCTGCAGTTTTTGGTTTTTGGGTTTCTGTGTCCTCCATGTGGGGTACAGCTTATGGTTTGTTCACATATCCCTTTAGAAAACTTTTATGCTGAAGAGTAAGGGTTGTTACTTTTCATTATTTTTCCTTCTGTTTGAGGAGGACCTCTTGTCCTTTATTCATGTACTCTGTTCTGCAGTTCTCTCTTCTCATTAACAAATTTCTTTTCTATCTAAAAAATGTGGCTGGATATTTAACCTTACATTCTAGTTTCCCAAGTTGCTTCCTCAAACCCAAGACAATAATAGCGATCCCCCAATTTAATGGGTGATATTCAAACCTGTTACTGAATTAGAACTCATAAAATGATCATAAAACAGGAAAAAAATCCACAAATTATACTGCACCCAACGACATAGAAATTAATAAAAAACCCCCAGTTTTTTTTTGGACCCATGTAGATATCTGTGATGATAAAAGTACTAAGAATTTTTTAGTGAGTTTACATCAATGGAGCAGTGCACTATGCTTACAATATTTCCTCCATTCAAGGGTTTTGAAACTGTTGACATGCATAACTTAACCGAGAATAATTAACTTTGAACTTGCATAAATAAGACACAGGTCTAGTTTAACTTTTCTTCTTGAATTTGACATTCATAAAATGGAAAAAGATAAAAGATCATGGTAAGCAAACACATTTTCAGTAGAGGAAATAATTTATTTACCTCCAGACATACAAAAGAAGATGGCCTGCAGCTGCACACAACAGCTGAAAGATATAGACATTGCTGGCAAATAATGCATGACGGATCCTACAAAAGACAACAGTAATAACAATTACAATGGATGAAGTTATAAACACATGTGTTGCCATCGGTTTAAACAGACCATACCTCTTCAGTTCCAACATATTGAGGATATTGCCGACAAGCCATGCAAGATGATTTGACAATACCATTTTTCCAGAGCTTTTCTCTCCATGATTTCTCTTTATCATATATGCGAAGCAATTCTTTCTTCAAATAAGGAGATGCTCTGGTATCAATGTCACTGTACTGAGCACGATAAGACAATCAAACAAGAAGTTTTAGATTGCTAAAAAGCTTGAGATTTGACAAACCAACCAACAATTTGTCCAAAGAAAAAAAGACAAACCAACCAACAAACAAAATCAAATAAAATTTAATATTATAAAGATAAAATTCAAATTATACCTCAAGTGGAAAAGTTTAGATATTTGGGAGCCATTATTCAAAATGATGGCGAAATCAGTGGAGATATTTTACATAGAATTCAAGCTGGGTGGTTTAATTGGAGAAAAGCTAAAGGAGTTATTTGTGACCGTAAGGTGCCTAATAAACTTAAAGGAAAGTTTTATCGTACTGCTATCAGACCGGCAATGTTATATAGTAGTGAATGCTGGGCTCTAACGGGACAGCAAGAGCATAAAGTTGGAGTAGCAGAGATGAGAATGTTACGATGGATGTGCGGACATACACGTAAAGATAAAATTCGAAACGAGCACATACGTGAAAAAGTGAGGGTGGCACCTATTGAGGAAAAAATGGTAGAAAATCGGTTGAGATGGTTTGGGCATGTACAAAGAAGACCAAGGGAGGCACCAGTGAGAAGAGTGGAACATATAACTTTGAGTCCGATTAAGAGAGGTAGAGGAAGGCCTAAGAGAACACTCTTGGAAGTTGTTGAACGTGATCTCTTAATTAATAATATTCTAAAAGCTTAATAAATGATAGAACACAATGGCGTCTTGCAATCCATGTAGCCGACCCCACCTAGTGGGATAAAGGCTTGTTGTTGTTGTTGTTGTTTATTATAAAGATAAAATAGAAAAACCAATACAAGAATTCTTTATTTCTTCAAAAATATGAAGAAAAGATCGTAAACCAAAAATTCAAAATAGTGGTGCAATACAGCGTAAAACTAAAACCCCAATAGCAATTAAGAAAATAGGCTAATGGCAACAATGTGTTTCCCCTACAAAGGGGGTCCTAACAATATGCCTGAATTTCCCCTTCCTCACCACCATTTATGTAACAGAAACAGCAAGCGCTACACTGCATTATAGAATAAACTGACAGGATACATTGCTATGATAAATTTTTATCATGTTAAATTAAAGATACCAATATTATTCTCCTTTTGATAACTTACAATATCATCTAAGGCCATCAATTGGGCTAGATGCATAAATTTTTAAAATCAATCATTCTAAAGTCAGTGGCATAAAAATAATAAAACACAGACACACATGAAGTTCATAACCTTACCTATAAGAAAATACCCAACAAATTAAAATTAAGGGGGAAGTGAGAAAAAGAGGAGGCATTAATCAGCTAAAATCCAAAACTGAACAATTGAAAATAGAACAACAGGCAAAGAGTAGATAAGATATCATCAGGAAATAATAGCTGTTCACATAACCCAATACAGGATCATCAATTATGAATACACTGTTTGATAATTAAAGAAAAAAAGAATACATTTGGAGGTAGCAAAAACCAACATTCAGAAGGTCTCTTCTTAAAGGTTCTATTAACATGGCATTCTGCAACTGAAAATAGCTGCTAATGAGGAAAAAACTTTACTCGCTCAAACACAAATATCTCAAGCTCATGCGTAGAAAACAAAATATTGTGGTCATGAGAGCAGAAAAAAATTGCACACTTCAAAATAATAGGCTTTACATTCCTAACGAATAAACTATTATTTCAAAACACACAAGATATCAGAAAATGTTTAAACCTGGGCGACTACACAAAGAAGCTCCTCATGAGACAAGACAGCAGCTTTGTGATATCGCTGGTAGAGATCAGCTCCAAATGCACCATAAGGTAGCCAGTCAGCAGGGGCAAAATTAACTGCCTCTGCACAATTTAAACCTGAAAATGCAACCAACCTGGTATGTTATTCCACAATACAAGACATGATGTACATTAGATTGTGTATAAGTTGGTCACCAAGGATCAGGGACATAACACTATACCAAGATTAAAACCGCCATGGTAAGATCTGGGAAAGGTAATGACAAAATTCCCAGGCTCCTGACAAGTATCAAGAATGAAAAGAATCATGACAAAGGTTCAATATACATGAAGAGAATACAATGAACATTAAAACCAATAGTGCTGCTGTTATGTTTCTGAGCAAACATGCTGTTATGTAATAAATAAATAAATCAATCAATAAATAATATTAGTTAAAGGGATTAATAGGTAGTTAGGATAGTTACTTAGGGGTGTCAGGTATAGGCCATAAAAGGGCACCCAAAGGACTGTTGTAATCAGTTTTGGAAATAATAGACTTGAATTCCCTATTTCTATCTTCCTCTCCAGTCTCTTTCTCTATCTATTTCCTCTTTTTCCTTCCTTTTTCTCTAATTATTATGCATCAGTGGTATCAAAGCCACTCCTTCCTCAAACCAGAGGGCAGGGCTCTGAAATCAATGGGGCAACTAGCAGATGATATTCAAGAAGCATTCTTCCAGTTGTCAAGACAATTAACCTGATATCCAAGGTCAATTGCAGAAGATAGAGAGGATGTTATGCTCCCAAGAATGCCTAAGTTGGCCAAGTAGCAAGGTTGTGTGGCCAAGTACAATTATGCTTTCGACACCATCACCAGCAACTACATGTTTTCTAAAGGCGATTTGATTGATATGTATGTGGTGGCCTTCAAGAAGAAATAGTAGAAGGGTATGGCTTTTCAAACCCATCACCCTAAATGATGCCAAAAGTTTTGCACAGAGACAAGAGAACTTCTTATGGTGGAACATTAAGCACCAATCAATTGGACAACGGGATAGGGCCAAGAATGTTGAAGAAGGTGGGTTTGGTTTAATCATCTCTGTGACAGACCCAAGAGAGTTCAAAACTGAGCAAGAAAACTCCGTTTATAAAAAAGATAAGGGGTCTTGTTCATTCACATCCCAAGAAGTATGTGACAAGGTTCAACAATCCTTAGTGCATGATGCTAACGTCGCGAAAGGGCTCCAGTGTATTCTAGACATTGAGCAAGGTAATTTCAAGGAGACCCAAGGAAGGCCGACGTCATCCGTATCAGCTAGAGGGGTCATCGCCGTCACTTAGCCTTTGCACCTTGAAGCTGATATGAGTTGAGTTGTTCAAGAAGTTTTGAAATAGCAATTCAGTCAAGTTGCAGACTTTTTCTCATCCTAGGTCCCTCGTGATCATAGGCTTTTAACCTTATCTACTCTTGGTTTTCCAAACTCACTGCAGCTGTCTCCTTGGTTTCATCTATCATGGCCTCTGCATACTTCCTTAGCATTGTCTGTCTTCATTTCTTCATCGCTGTCTCTATTTCATTTGCACAGCCAAAAGTCTCTGCAAAGTCAGGGCTGTGTTCGAGCTCCAAGAAAGAGAGAGAAGTTTGCAAGAATGAGAAATGCAGAAGTTTTCGAGAAAGAAAGAAAGTTTCTTGTTTTTTCTGCTCAGAGAATCACATGGGTGCATGTTTTAGGTGTTGACGTGGCTTGGTTAATGTGGTGGTAGTATGATATTCTTAAGTCTAGAAGGGAAAAAAAAAGGAGGAATAGCCAGAATCTGTACTGGGTCAGACCTAAAAGGCCCAATAACTCACCTAATACCTACTGTCTACTGGATTCATGTGCCTATGGACGTATCTCACATGCTTTAACTTTAAATAAGGCCAGAGAGACCTATAGTCAATTTACTTGTCTTCTTCAAGATTACAATTGGGTTTTCTGAGGATTTTTTTTGTACTTGACCCTTGAGGGCAAGGGTCTTCTGGGAAAGGAGTATTGTTATGTAATAAATAAATAAATAATATTAGTTAAAGGGGTTAATAGGTAGTTAGGATAGCTACTTAAGGGTGTCAGGTATAGGCTATAAAAGAGCATCAAAAGGACCGTTGTAATCAGTTTTGGAAATAATGGACTTGAGTTCCCAAATTCTATCTTCCTCTCTAATCTCTTCTCTCTCTGTTTCCTCTATTTCCTCTCTTTCCTTACCTTTTCTCTAATTATTATGCATCACATGCATAGAAGGTAATTATAATGCAAAGCTACTATCATAACTCAAACAGTCAAATTACTTTCATATGGACAAAGTCAGGACAACATGTGAACTAGAAACAAAATGGATCTTCAATGATGTCTATTTCCATCTACTACACAAACTTTGGAGTGCTCATTATATGTTCCTATTTTACGATTTACAACAACTAAACCACTTGTGCTCTAATTTAATAGCTTCCACAAAACCCTGCACTTTCAATAAAAAACACAAACGCAAAACTGTAATATGACAAGGCCATATGAAACCTGAATTATGCTGTAGACTGGAACTCCATTTTTTTGCAAAACAGATGGGTTTAACATTGTTACAAGCTGAAAAAGCAGATCTGGTTGTGCATCAAAAAGATCAGGAAGACTGCTTCTCATCACCTAAAACAAAGTGGACCATTTTATGGAGAGCCATGTTTGAGAATCAAAACAGAAAGTAAATTGCCAGAACAAACTAAAAATTAAGGAAGCAATAGTTAATAAAAAAGAAGAGGAAAAAACGTAGACCAGGTAATAATCAACTGATAGTAGAAATCAACTTCAGCAGGTAACATTTGATAGAAAAGCAATAGTAGATATAACTAAAAGCCTTAAGTGAACCTATTTTGCACATGCATACCAGTGGCAGAGTTGGTATTCATTTATTTTTGCGCATGTGTGTGGATTTTTTTTTTTCTAGACAGGCACGTACTATATAGTGTGAGACATAGTTTGCATTCTGTTATGACATGTGTCAAATGTATATTATTTGTGGGTGATAACAAAATCTATTATATATTCACACACACACCAGGGATTGTCCCATATTGAGCATCTTGACTACTCCCCTCGTTTTTTCTAGTATATTCAGTTGTGTTCCTGTGCCTTTGGTTTGACTGGTAGGATACACAATAGCAAGGAAGGAAAACACCAAAAGAAAACAGAAGTTGAAAAATATAAAGCAAGTATTAGATGTCATTTTGCCCTCCATGCCTTTTTTTCACCTCATCAAGTAAGGATTTTAATACAAAAATGAGCCTTATCCCATTAAGTAGTCCTGTCAATCCATTGGAAATGTTCACACATCTCAAAATTTATTTGTATAAATAATAACAGCCTCATAATTTATTTGTTAAAGCAATTTGCTACAAATACGACATATGATGTAAGGTGGTTATACATTTAAACAAATATATCTTGTGATATGTACTCACTTGCGATGCAAAACCCTCCGCCCAAAAGCTAGCTACTAAGAGGAGGAAACAAGCCCACTTAAATACCCTAGACAGTATCTCATACTACTCAATGTGAAGGACTTGGCATCCCATACAACCTAAATCTCCACCAATTGCTCCCCTTGGAGAGTCGATGTCTCAATGGCTACAATCCATGACTCTTCACTCAATCAAACCTCACTCAATTTCCTTGCCAATCAAAACCCTCCAACGACCAAGACTCTTCATGATAGGATATAGAATTAATTAGATTTAAAATTTAAGATTCTTATTTTCTTAGATGATCTTAGAATTTGATTTGAATAAATGTAATCTTTTAGATTACTAAGTTATCTTTTAAATTATTTTAGAGTATTTGCATTTAATTATTAGAATTTATATTGAATAAGAATTGTTATTACCTTGCCTCTCCTCTGAATTTCCCTTTTCCCTTATCTTCTCCCTTTTCCCTCCCTCGTTCTGCATCAATTAGTATCAGAGTCTAGTTCCCACCTCATTTCTACTAACAAACTTTCCCTAAAAGATCTTCTTAAAGCCATATCACTTTAACTACTCACAAGACACAAGATTTTACATATTCAACTCATTGTCAAAAGCTAGATCGTCCATATCCACCAATCAAATCTTCAAACCACCATCATCGTTGTGTCCCGCCTTAAAACGCTATCTATCTATCAAAGATCATTACTAGACATTGCTCCACATGCCATCACATGCTGACCACGGAATCTCCTATTCACATCTTGCTTCCCTAGAGCAATCATCAATTGTACTCTCTAGATGAGAGTTTCTTCAAAATGGGGAAAAATGATGGGATACAAAATTAATTAGATTTAAGATTTTTACTCTATTAGAATGATCTTAGGATTTGACATGAATAAATGTAATCTTTTAGATTATTAGGTTATCTTTTAAATTACTTTAGAATATTTGCATTTAATTATTAGGATTTATGGAATATTCTGCTTTTAATACATTATTTCTAGGGTTAGGTTGAAAGCTATAAATAGCACCTCAACTCATTTGCTTTATTACCTTGTCTCTCCTCAAAATTTCTCTTTCCTCTATATTCTCTTTACTCTCTTTGTCTACTCTTTTCTCTTATATTCTCCCTCTTCCCATCCCCGTTCTGCATCACTTTGTAGTTATCCCTTTCCAAAACTATCACCAATGAACTCGAATGCCAATTGGTATGTGTTTAAGTGGGATGGGAAACCAACTATCTCATGAACATCTATTTCAAGGGATGCCTGAAAATTGTATAATTTTTCTTCATGGAGAAAATAATATAATAAAAACATCATAAGAATCCAAGACCTACCTTCTCAAAAGCACCGGCTTCACTACCAGGAACACTGTACCAGCATTTTGGCTCTCCCCTAGAACATCAAAGAAATCAGATCCAAATCCAGAAGGGGAAAACTCAAAAGAGACATGTTGTACTTTAAAATTATTAATATTGACCCTATGAAAGAAACATATGGTAGTCACTAGATATTGGACTTCCCATATTATAGCTCAAGAATAAGCAGAGTCAGCAAAATGGGGCAGAATAAATATCATGGAGTGGGTCATGAGAGTTGCATCAACTATTAATCAAGCATGCAAGTAACATTAAATTCTTCACTGTGCAAATTGATGCTGTGAGGCACATTTGGACCTTTATGAACATAAAGGCCTCCCAATTGGGTGTCCAGACCTTTATAGAAGTTGCAAATATAAAATGCACATCGTGTCAAGCATTGAAAACCGATATTCACATCAAAATGTAGAAACACTCCCAAACACAAAATTAAAGAAGATGTCACGCAATACTCCTATTAAAGAGCAATTTCCATAAGAAACCAGAATCTATTTGTGTAATGAACCTAAAGAACTACAAGTTTTTGTTGACTGCCAATGATAAGGATACAAAAATCAAAGTAATTTGCTCCTTGTTACTCATAATAACTCAAAAATAAAACTTACAAGATTTGTCAGAAAGCTACAATCATTTGCCTCCTATAAGCATTCCACTTTCCAATCCCTCAACGGTTAAAGAAACAAGTTAACCACAAAAAGACATGGACACACATGGAAAGGATATTCTTAAGAAAATCATTAGAATGAAATAAGATAACACAAAAAGAAGAAAAAGAAGAAGCCTTATCCCATTAGATGGAGTCGGCTACATAAATTGTATGATACCATTATACTCTATCACTTACCAAGCGTTTAGGAATGTTATTGACTAAGAAATCTTGGTCAACAAATTCCGTAAGTGTTTTTTTTTTTTTTTTGCCTTCCTCTACCCCTCTTAACAGAACAAAATAAGATAATATATAAATTAAATGCCATGCATTTGACAAGAAAGATGATATCAAGTTTATCTAAAATCAAATTAATGAATCACTGCAAATAATTCTTTGGCAGAGCTAAATGTTTTTTTCATCGATTAAGCAATATACGAGTGTTAATCCCCCAATGAAAATAACAGTAACAATGAGACTTTTCACTGCCCTAATGCCATATAACTATAGATGTTCCAACTTATAAGCATTCTTTCATTTGCATTGCAACATCTTTAAAGATGTTGAGAGATGAATTTCACACAAGGCAAATGAAAAGGGTTTCTGAAACAATAACCCCCTTCCATGCACATCCCCACTCTCCATTATATTATACTGCCCCAATTTCTCTTCTAAGAATCCCTCACTTTTTTACATGTTACCAATTCTCCCACTACTATCAACATTTCCAACTAATGTTGCCCACTAAAAAATTCTCCACTCATGCTGGGCAGCATTAATGGTCTCAGTTTTACTGTTTTAGGTATAAACAGATCAGAACTTAACTTGGAAAATTAGTAGAATATTTTGCTCAAGAATAGATTAGTTTGGTGCCTTTGGCAGAGTACTCCATGCCCTACAGACCAATTAGTAGAGTTGTGTGTGTTTTGTGAAGAAAATAAAAAGAGTTGTGTGTTTAAGATTCTTGCATTCATCTCTGTAATATGAGTTACTATTATATTTTCTATATTTGCTTGTGTGAGTTTGGGGTTCTCTTAGTTTCATGCATAGAAGCAACATGACTGCTCGTGGAAGTAGAATTTCATAAAGTACTTTTTACATTCAAACATAAAAAGGAAGTTCTATGTATAGATTGCTCATTTGGACTTCTTTCAATCATTGAGAAAGGCTGCTTAATATGCATTTTACATTTGTTTTGACCCTATATGGTTGTATTGATTCAATAACAATAAGTGATACATTATTTTGACCTGGAACTTTACGTGATGCATTTCAAGTATACATAAGCAGCTGATCAATTTGATATTATTATATCTTCCCCTATAGAATCAAATGCAAGATCTTATTATCATGACATCATATAATTGACAAGCATGCTTCATCTTTCACCAGGGATAGCAAGTCTATAGTAACTTGAACTAGTTAAATCCTATATCTAAACACAGGAAAAAGTTTCATATTTATAGACATAACATAATTTAGTTTTCCTCTGCTAGAAAATCAAACAACAATTATATGAGATAAAGTTAAAAGGAAAACAACAGTAAAAGAAATTGCAGCATACCAGTGTAGATAATTTATTGAGTAAAAGCAATGATCCTCAAAATGCCAGCAAAAGGATGAGAATAGCATCCCAATATACAGCCAGGGTACCATCACCCCCGTGATATTATGATGAACAGCTCGAAGCATTGACCCTTTCAATTTAGGCAAATTGTTAAGATTCCATGGGTTAGAAGAGTACTCATCCCATAATTTTGAATCAATTGGCTCTGGTTTCTGATCAGTTGAGCGTGGAAAACCACTTCCAAAGACAGATGTATCCAAATCACTTCCATACATAACCTCAACTTCACCAACCAATCCCTCTACAATTTCCCAAAATTTCTTCTCTATCTGCACCCTAGAAACAGGTCCTGGTCCAAACCATCTCCTCCTTGACCGATCAGCCACACGTCTAAAGGCTTCCAAAGTGTATTGCTTACCAGGCACAAAACCAAAGCTGTCTCTGTCAGAATTCAAGCAATTAAAGCAATACCAGTTTCCTGGAGGAATTTGCTTCAAGGGTGGAGACAGACAATATATATGCCAGCCCTTGTCACACCTATCACACAAAAGCATTACGTCCCCATGCAAACCACTTCTACATTGCTCACAAATCTGGTCATGTTCTTCCTCCTGCACTTTACAATCCTTAACTTTCAAACAATCAACACTTCTTCTTATCCTCTTGGATCCTGAAGATCGAATGCCATGATCACTTTGTTCATCCTCAAGCATGCCTTTCTTGCCTGTCTGTTGATTCAGCCGACTATAGAAATTCTCATAATCATACAAATGTTCAGAGTACAACTGAGATAGGACGTGCTTTGCACAGTCGGTAATTTTTCTACTTGGCCCTACAAACCGTGAAACATCCCCCCATTTCTTTTCCCTCACAACCTTATCATATCCACCATATCTCTTAACAGCATTAAACAGTTTGCACAAGTCCAGTTCTTCCCCTTCAAATACAATTTTCTTCCTTGACTTTTTACCGCATTGATCCTCTAAAAACCTAGAGTACTCCAACTCAAAAGTCTTGGAGTCACAAGCTGCAGGACGAGCCTGTAACTTGTGAATTTCCTGTGTTTTAGTGGGGAAAGTAAAAAAATCTAGATCCAAAGCAAATGGGGGTTTCCAACTCTTTGGTGGTACAATCTTACAAATTCCATATGGCTCAGCCTCAGGTCTAATCTTATAAATATAATCCAACGGGTCTCTGAACTCGTCCTCGGTGGGAAAATATACAGGCCCTGACGGTATACTCACTGACCCAGACGATGAAACACTGAGACTCTGTCCTGCTACACCTTTTTCCACAGCCCTAGGTCTACCTTTCCCCATTTGAATCACCCCGAATTCATAACTCAATATAGCATGCACGGAAAAACTCACACTTTCGAGGACCTGAAACTTACATTCACAGAGAAGGAGACCATGGAAGAATTTCGAGGGAAGATCTAGTTGGAAAGGCGTCACAGTAATTGGATTTTATATTAATTGAAAGAAATCACCAAATTTCCCATTTGCCGCATGTTCTATCGGGTCGGATTCTAATACCCGAATAAATAGCCATGTTTTTCGTCGTTTTCCTCAAGTTTTTTGGTTATTTTTCGAAAAATCCACGCTTGAGCCTTGAGCCCGCTGGGGCGGTTGTACATTAATATGTTTGTTTTTGGACGTTGGACAACGTTCATTTCTTTTTTAGATATTTTAAATCAACCTTTAATTTTTAATTAATCAATCATCTACATTTTATACCTTTACCCCAAAAAAAAAACTAAATTTTATACCCATTTGCATAAACTCTCAATCATAAACTCTCATTTCGATTAAAGAAGAATGAAGATAGAGAGAAAATTTTAATGGATTTGATTTATAAAATATAAGTCAAGCTGAAAATTTTTAACATAAATAAAATACATTCCCTTCAATCTAAATATATAAGCAACTTTCAACAATAATTCACATACCAATAAAATATTTATTGTTATAAAAATATATATTATTTATCTTCAATTTCAATTACCGTTTATGAGTAAAAAGAATGTAATAAACGAGTATAAGAATTCAAACTAATAAATAAATATAATGAGTAAATGAGGAAAAAATTCATATAACTACTGAGTTAATTAGATTTTGGACCAAGATTGAAAAGGCTTATATTTTGAATGGGAGTGACTAAGAGAAAAGTGTAAATAAAATTAATTTCAAATTTCAAAATCTCATTTAATTTGTTTTAATGATGGATTCCGGTATTTTATTCAAAAATTAAATTTATTAAAATCTCTCATCTCTTCTATTTTCCAACAAAACGTGGGAAGGAATTAAATATTAAGTAAATATTAACATGATACTTTTTTCAACAAATGATAGTGTTTAAAATAGAGAAATTCTTGTATGAATTCAGTAAACTATATCATTTGCATATTACGATATATCATCTTACTTAACTATAGACTTAACAACAATTATCAAACTTTATCATGGTAATTAAAAAATAACTAACTACAATACCTTACAATGATAGAAAGGACTTAAATGTCATTGAAAATAGCCAATCATAATAGGAAAGAAAAACACTCAAATTGAATGTCTATAGTTAATTTCGTTTAACTCATATACTTAAAACCATTATATAACTAGACTTAATTTTGTGCATTATGGATTTACAATTAAAAAATAATAATCAAGCGAACACTTGAACAACTCATTGAAGAAGGTTATTTCATTCAAAATAATCTTCTTAAAATGTAAGTTACATCCTCTAACAACATTTCATAATGTCATGATAAAACAATGGCTCAAGCATTTTGCTAATAATTTAACAAATTTGGTTGTTTTTTTTTCAATTAATTAATGTATTTTAAAAATAATATAATATAATTATAAGAATTCAACATTACTTATTGGAGGCAAAACAAAATCTGCTCATGTCTAATTTTTTATAGGGTTAAATAGTAAAAATACTCGGAACTTTTCTTTAGTGGCACATAGCACCCTAAACTTTGTTTAAAGCATTTTTGCCTAGAAGTTTTAAAAATAGAACATTTTCACCCCTATCGTTAAAAATCACAAACGTTGATCATTAACTGAAGTTTGATCAAAATATTTTATGATTTTGCCCTCTTTTGTTTTTTCATTTTTCGGACTTCATTTTCATTCGTTGGAAAAAGAAAAGTTAAAGAATTCATTGGATAACGAAATGAAAAACTAAACACAAAAGGGAGGTATAATATCCCACAGTTTAACTCAAGATTAATTAAGTTGATCGAGGGCAAATGAGTAATTTTAAAAAAATAATTAGAGATAAATAATTTTAGTTACAGAATTATTATTTGGATCTAAGTTAGATAAAATCTTAAGTTATGATTTTTTTCACAAAATAAAAATATTAAAAAAAGAAAGAAAAGGGATATAAAAAAAAATAGGCGAACAGCTTGGAGAATCCGTGTGCACGCGTGTGATGTACAAAAAACAAAAAGACAAAAAAAGAGATGAAAGATGAAGAAGGAAAAGCGTGAGGGACCAACTCACCCCTGTTTTTCTTTTTCATTTTCCTTCCATTTTCTTTCATTTCCCCAGGTGCAAACAATGAGAGTGAGAGCACAAGTTCCCAATGATGGGAGCTGAATTAGAAGTTGGAGCTCCATGATAGAATATTTTGAATAAGATTTGAAGTATTATAAGATATGTAAGTATCCTAAATATTTTTTAAACTTTTTTCTTTCTAGTTTCTCATTTTGAAATTATGAAAAATCTAAAGTCTGAAAAGAGGTGAATTTTTTTATGAATAAATATGGTTAATGAGATTATTAGTAATATAATAAATATTCTAAAACATTGTTTTGTTAATGAGATTTGAATTTGAGGAATATGTGTTAAACCCCAAACCTCTATGGATAGATTTTTTGTTAAATTTAAAAATGTAAGTTGAATTGTTGATGTTTAGATAATTATTAAAATGAGAAATAGATTATTATGGCTATATAATGATGATTCTAAGCTTGAGACTAAATTTGTAATTTTTTGATATTTTTACGTTCGAATTTATGAAATAAAAGGGGAAATTTTGATATTAGAAAATTGTTTGAAAGATGATTTTAGCCAAATTTCAAAAAAACAAAAACTATTGTGAAGGAAGCTATTAAACTAAGTGAATAAGTTCAAATATATGAAATTGGATTTTAGAATTCAAGATGCTAAAACAAATGTCTTAACACACACGCACACACACTTATGTGTTAAAATATAAGTAAAAATTGTGTTAATAATATTATTAACACATTAAAATATGATTAATTATAGATTAATTTTTATTTGGCACCATTCAAGCTTTGAAAAGTTTTGGAAGTATTAGAGGGGTAATATTTGATCTCTCAAATGCATGAGATTCTATGATTTGTGACAAAATTAATTGTAGCACATATAAAGAATTTGATGTGATGGATGTATGTGGAGAAAAAGAAATGAATATGAAAGCTTGCTTTGTAATGTAAAATATTAATATTAATTTATGCTTTCATGGGATAATGTGACATGATTTGAGTAATGTGATTGAGGGTTGATGATGATGTATATACCCTTTGATTATAAATTATGGATTATATGTGGTGATGAATTGTATATGAGCATATTAACTTTTCATATGATGAGAATATGATTTATATGGTGACATGAAAATTAATGCATGAAGCATGATTGAAATAAAATAATTTTTTATGCTTGCTAAGCGTGAAAAATTTGATAAACATGTGGGATAATTATGAATTACATATTTAGATTTATTGAAATGTATTTTCTCACAAGCATGATCGTACAATAAGAGTTCACCTTATTGAAGGAGTTAGTAGTTGTGCAAAATCTATATGATACTTGGCTATTAACTATTAATCTTAGTAGCTACAGTCACTACTTACCTTGTAGGGTATTGTGGTATTATTTCTATTAAGGGACTTAACCCTACTAGCTTGCTTGGAGTTTTTGACAGAGCTAGTTTTAAGTATGACACCCCATAATGTGTGATTTGGGAAAAATCATGTTCATAAGTGAGTGAGGTAATATTGACCTAGTAAGTCCTCATGATATGATTAAGACTTTGGGTAGTCTCACCACATGGATGATCCCTTTTGATTGTTGGCCCATGGATTTCATCTCAGAGGAAGGGAAGATATAAGGAAGAGATTGATCATGCATTTTATTATTGCTACGTCATTTGAGTGATTGATAGCTATGTTTGAGACTATAATTGTAATTGTAGAAATGAAAACATGGTAAATATGTGAAAAATGTACATGCGAGCACTTGTGCCAATTTTATATGAACATTCAGTACTTATGGGAAATTATGCCAATTTTGTATTTGACTTTATTCTTCATATTATTCAGATGAGTTAGATGCACATGAGGTTAGCATAATCTTGATATGATTGTTTGCATGGTCATCTTGATGAATTTATCAACCACTTGAATTCATGATTAATTATCATGTATTTGTATAATTTAGATGTACATTGATTATTGAGTAGTTGTACTCACTCTTTTCTTTTAACATATTACATGAATTAGCTCATTTGGGAAGAATAGAAGAAAGGAGCATCAGACCAAGTGATAATAATCCCTTCCTTTTTATTTGATATGTGTATTTAGTTTATAATATTGCCAACTAGGACAATACATTTTAGATCCATTTGCATTATGGGTTTTATGTTGGGTAGAAGTGTATTTTGGACCCTTAAGAATATGGTTTGGTGCTTATATTTATATTAGTAGGCCAAAATATTTGTGCAAGTAAAAATAGTTATTATATGTGTGATTTGAGAATTTGAATATTGTTATAGTATCCCCTTATGTTTTTTATGTCTAAAGTGAATACTTAATATTAACTATATATGAATGCAAAAGGAAATTCATGCATGTGATGTGCTATTGATGATTAGATAATATATAGAGTATAATGACTAGGTGATAATTTTTATAATAAATGTGATTGAGGCTTTGGCCCCCCACTACTAGTTATAAAAGGGTTTGAGTGGTCAAGTGTTATGTTGGTAAATACACACCACACGCGCACACACTACGTGGAGTAGGACATATAGATAAAATAAGGGGGAAGTTTTTCTCCCATCTTGAGATGTGTTTCTTAATACTTAATTAATCTCATGCTTCTGCACATGTTTAATTGAATAATGTGAGTTCTTGAAATATTTTAAATACTTGGGATTCCCTTGTTTTAAATAGTTTGTGAAAATATATATTAAGGATTTGTTTTGGTTAATCTCTTATAGGATAATCCCTTTGGTTTAGTCCTTAATTAACGATTGTTAGTGTAATGATTTAAATCCTAATTTAAGATAATCTTACAGAAGGTGTAATGCCCTCATTGACATTACCATTCAACCTTTTATGCAATCCATTAATCAATTTAAAATATCTTTGAAAGTTTAAAATCCCAAAACAAACTTTTGAAAATCTCTATATAAAACCA